TGTTGACGTGAAAACTTAAGCCATTAGAGAATAGACCAACAATGTATATGAACCTTGCAACCAAAGCCTTAGGGATTAACTAAATACACACTCACATCATGCACAAACCTTCCACATACATTCACTTTATAGGTAGCTCTCCAGCCTCCATTGTCCTACGTGTATAGGTTTGTGCCATCGGTACTCTTTGAGTAGATATTTTCATCCTAGTTTGCATGGGCCACCCTGGGGCATGCAAAGTGGTGAGATGAGAGAGATGAGTCACACACTTACATAGTCAGTCACATGCAAAGTCGCCCTCTACTCGACCGGGCCCTAACCCATTTTCAGCGAGGTCACCTTTGTACTTTAGTCTTCCAATGCTCACGCACTCTAAATAGTGGTGATGTATGTGTACTAGTTGACACCATTTAAATTGGATCGGTTTCACGGTAAAATCATAATTAGATCGATTACATAATTAATGTTTGATTTGGTTTGATTTTGTCAAAGGTTTTTAAGGAAATCGAAACAAACCAAAGTATTGAACGGTTTTGTTCTAGTGAGTTGGACCTAAGCTCAATTATTTTGTCAACATTTTAGAGGAATTACAATAATAAAAATATCATAATTTGTTACATATATTTTCATTTAGTAACTGAAAATGAAGGTTATCAAACAAGCCTTTAGTAACTAATATAGTTACAACTCAAAAATTAACAACTTTGATATTCATCAATCATCAAATTCAACACCGTTATCTCTAGTTATTAGACAATAAAAACTACCCTTGTAAAGGAAACATGTAAATACTAATAGAGAGTTGATTTTCATACACCTTTTGACACACCCCGACCCGAATCAGGGCATGCTGACCGTCACGTGAGGGTGACGTAACCATGTGCACAGTGCGGAAGCGATAATGGTAAGAGATATACGAATAAATAAAAACCGAAAGCTAATTAATGTGCACTAATAAGCAGAAAGTGCTAGGAATGAGATACAAGTGTAAATACACCTAATCAGAGCGTAGAAAGTCTAGGTGCAGTCCAGTAGGACAAGTACTAGTTATACAGTACCAGAAGAGGTCCTACGAATATTATATTTTGTCAGAACCACCGAGATCCACAAATGCCACCAACAACAAGTCTACCTAAAACCTAGAGGGACACAAAATAGAAAGTGTGAGTGGGAAAAAATAAAGCTTTTCAAAATCATTTCATTATTAAATGCTCTAACCCCTCGTCGTAAAACATGTATAGTTTTCCCAGAAATAGAATATATATATATATATATATATATATATATATATATATATTCAAATCATGCTTCACATATCCATATTCATAAGTATGCCATGCCAAAGTATAAACAGAATAAGTAACTCAGTTGAAAATAAATTCATGAAAATAACATATTGGCTGGAACCCCTGCAGAAGTTTGTACGGCTGAATTCATAGCTTATTAGTCAATCTAGCCGGAGTCACTACAGGTGACCTATACAACACTACACTGCACACGAGTCGAAACCACTGGAAGGGTCTGTACGACAAGACTGAGTGTAATATAGTTATGCTCAATGCTACGCTCTCATGATAGATGTGCGATAAATCGCTAGTCACCTACGAGTCGGAACCACCTATAATGGTCTGTACGACAAGACTGTGCACCTAAATTGGATCCAATGTGAGCATAGGGTGCCGGAGGTGACATCATAAACAGGCCTGAACCATATCTCTAGCTAAATCACAATCACCCGGGGTGCAGGTTTATGAGCTCTCAATCACATCTCATATTATCAATATTTCATATAACAAAACATAACTCACCTGGTAGTTACCTGAGCGTCCACAACACCAATTCATATTATGCATCATATACTAATTCATATGCTAAATGTAAATTTATATGCATGGCATTTCAAAGCATACTTTCATTTAAACACATTTTCTAGGAAAATATCAAGTATATAAATATATACTGAAAACCAAAAGCCCACTCACTGGTATGTCGAAGGGTCGTAGCCCCCGAGTCGCCCTTGACTGCAATCGTCCTCGGGATAAGTCTTCTCTATATGCGAAACAACTATAAAAACGTTAATGTAAAGCACATAACCAATACTAGCTAATAACTTCTCTTATATTGCTCAAATGAGGTATATAAATATACCATCGTGACCTACACGACTCCACAAACATGCCCAAATTTTTAGAAAAATTTTCCGACCACCCACGCGTCGTCACGTGCCGCCCAAGGCACGGCCAGACGCGTCGCCCAAGCGCGGGCACGTGCCAGGCACACTGACGGTAACCCTAACGGCGTTAGGGAATATTCCGTTAAATAATAGCATATACCGTTAAAACTAACCTGACGCCGTTAGAATATTCCGTCAAAGTTGACGGAATATTCGCTCATCTTCTTCCTTCGACTCCGGTGACCGTCGCCGTCGCCGGAAAACTGGTAATTCGAAAAACCTTGATATATCAGTCAATTCTTAACCAAATTACCTCAAATTTGTCCCAAAATGAAGCATGTAATTAGAAGAACAAAGTCTTACCAATTTCAAGGCTTGAAATCCACGGAATCTCGACGGAGAAAACTCGATAATCCGGCCAAAACTTGAAACTCGCCAAACTCGACTTCTCGACGTCCAAACACTTCGTTTTTCTTCTCCGAGCTTCGTGAAGACGTTCTAAAGCTTCCTATAACCTTGAAATCTCTCAAAAACTCCACATTAATGTGTGCATGAACAGTACCTCAATTTGGGGTTCTTGGTTCTTACGATCCCGAAGCTTTCACGTCCTAAAAATGGTTTGGTTAAGATCCTAAGGTTACAAGGAACTCAAACATGGCCTCTAAAGGTTCGATTTGCAAAGTTTCGTGAGGGTTGGAGTTTGTCCGTACGGTTCGTACGGAAAAAGAAGAGAATCGAGAGGGAGGAGAGAGGGAGAGTACACGGGAAGGAGAGAGAGGGAGTTGGAGTGTGTGTGTGATCCAATTTTTTTTTTGACTTCCAAACAACCACAAAACCATAACAACTTTAAGTCCTAATTGGTTCCAAAATATTAGGGACTTAATGTATTAGTTCACTTTTAAACTTAAACCACACAACCACACAAAACGTCCAAGGGCAATTTTGTCTTTTCACACTTCCGAGAAAATATTTCGGGACAAGCATTGACACCTTTTTTAGCCCTACTCATCTTTATTTACTGCAGTCAAGCTGAATAAAAAAACATAAATAAATATGTTTAAACAGGGATGTGTAAGAGCAAGTCCACCCCTAAGGACTTTGCGCCAGCACCCAGCGCATTTATCCACTCAATGAACAGTAATAGACTGGAGTGAACAGTAATAGGCCAAGGCATCTCCACCCCTAAAAAAATGCGCTGGCACCCAGCGCATTTTTTTGGTGTGTTTTTTTTTTTTAAGTTTATTTCGGATAAGATTTTTAACCAATTTCAGATAAAATTTCAAATAAACTTAAAAAAAATACACACTAAAATAAAATTACATACTCATCAAATAAACTATAAAAAAAAAAACACACTAAAATGAAATTACATAAACTCATCAAATACACTTTATTCTTCAACCACAAGTTTTTTGGTATTTTTTTTTCACACAAAAAGTATATGAAAGCTTTGGTAGAAAGTGTAGAAAATATTGAAATGTGGTGTAAGGTGGAAGATGAGAGTTAGGTATTTATAGAAAAAATAAATAATTTTTTTTTAAAATTTTATGTATTTTTTAATATTTTTTCTGTATGTTTTTAATAAATTTTAATTAGTTAATTAACGTGGACCGTTGATCTGTGATCGGACGGTATATTTTAAAAAGTAAAATTTAAATTTTTTTTACCGTTGGAAATCCAACGGTCTAGAAAAACTAGCCGTTGGAAATCCAACGGATATAAGCATGCCACGTCGCTGATGGGATCCGGAGCACAAGTGGGCTGACAGCCCTGTCGGCTACTCGCGGCAGCGCCTGCGTGAAGCGCACGCGCCAGGCAAATTGCCCAGCTTCTTGCTCAGTCTGTTTTGGGCTGGTCCATTGCCCAGCTCGGGCTGGGTACCAGTCAAAATGAGGGGTGGACTTGGTTGACAGGGTGCTGGCCCTGTTTTTGTGCTGGGTCCTGGGCAAAATCCACTGGGGTGGAATTGCTCTAAGGAGAGAAAAATGTTGTATTAATCATTTCTCATACTATATGTAAGTGGTTGGTTTGACTTGGTTTAGGTAAGTTATCACTTTTCGCAAACCAATTCATTACGATTTAGCATTATTTTAGACTGTTTGACTTTTTTTTCATAATAAAAAAGGGACAAAATTAACTCAAAGACTAAGTTGTGTGCAACATTTTTGTATATAAAATTTTTTACGTGCCGCAACCATTTATCGTGTTAAGTTGTGGCCAACTTTATTTAGAACTTCATAGTGTGTATATACACCAAAGAAAAATGAGAACTACACACCTCCTTTTACATACCTTTTTTTTAATTTTGGCCCTCAAATTAAACTACGGAGGGAGAGAAAAATGTGATGTGATGATCATTTATCTTTACGGAAACACATCGGTTCCACAGTCACATTTATCCCCCACACATTAACTTGCGCGTTGGATAGACTCCCTCAAAGAGTTTATACATATCTAAAATTAAAGAAAATCCATAAATAGTTTTTCAAAAGAAAATATTTAAGTGTAGAAAAAAATTAAATAAAAATGATCCTATAGAAATTATTTACTTGAACTTATTTTTATAAATCATGTGTCGTAACAGTGTATACTTAAATTATTAATAAAAATATTTAACTATCAACTGTCACAATATAAAACATACAAAATATAATTTAAAATCATGATTTTCCTATTATTTTCGAATAAATAATCGGTATTATCCAAACAAGAAGTGCTTTTGCTGTCAAGTTTTTGTTTGCTTCTCAAACTCTATCCCATGAAATTGAATAGTCCAACAAGGGAAGGGAAGCAAAGGCAAAGCAAGGGATCATCACCCAATTGGGCCAATTCCACTTGTGCCACACACACAAGAGAGAGAGAGAGAGAGAGAGGTGCTTTTGAACAGAGAAAGATAAGCAGCTTTTCTCAGAGGAAGAGAGAGAGAGAGAGAGAGAGAGTAAACTACATCCTAGAGAAATGCATTCAGATAAGGACTTGTGCTAGACCCAGTAGTAAATATCGCTCTCTCTCTCACACACACCAAATGACCCCCTCCTTCCTGCATTTCCCAAAAAACAGTTCGACCTTTAATGCCCCTTCAAGAATCTCTCTCTTTCCTCCCTACACAATTCAAACTTCTTACCCTTCCCCTAGTCCCAGACCTAGAGAAGCACACAGTGTTCTTCTTCACCAGTCTGACCTTTAAACCTGTTTGAAAAAAATACCACTTTGACTCTCTCTCTGTCTGTCATCTTTTTACTTGGGTTATCTTTTCTTTTGCATTCTCACACTTTGTGGTGCCAAAACAAGAACTGGGTTTGTTCCTACATGTTGGCATTGACTCAAAGTTGTAGCCTTTTTTAAATAATAGTTTTTCTTGAGAGGGGTTGTTTTGAATTTTGAAGTTTGAAATATTAGAGCTTTGGATTTGATGCATATGGTTATGGGGTTGCCTTTGAAGATGCTTGGTGTCAAAGGATTTATAATGGGTTGGTGACAGTGGACCTCTTTCCTTCCAGTCTCTCTTGCTCTTTCCCTTCAGCATGAAGCCTTTTTCTTGCTTACCTTGGTTTGGTAAGCTGTAAAAGTAGCTTCCATCTTTGTCTTTTCTCCTACATAATTATTATTAGCCTTTGAATTTTGAACTTCCTTTTCTCTCTTGCTTTCTTGGTTGTTAAAAGTTTTGTGGCTGTTGCTCTAATCAAGTTGTAATTTTACTTAAATTTCATAGCTTTTCTTTTGCATATAGCCAAGTTGGTTTTTTTTTTCTCTCTCTTTTGTTCTAGCTTTTAATTCCATATATAGTTTTTAGAAACTTCATCTGTGAAATCTGATCAATTTATCGGTTTTGTTATGTTCACATCCTGAAAAGATGTATAATATTTCAGTTTTGCAACCAATGTATATCTTGTGGTAATTTCAGTGTTAGTATTCTGCATCCAAATTTTCGATACCTAGAAACTTGTCTAGTATTTGCAAATTGGGTTCACATTCTGCCGAATTTTGTGTTTCTATAGAGCTGTCCTAGTACTGAACAGTGAGTATTAGAGCACGAGGGAGCATTTTGCATTGAGTTGCAAAGTTGGGGCTTCAAGGTTGCCTTTGAAAGATAATCAAATAAATGCATGGATCGGAGGGACCCTATGGCATTGTCGGGGTCAGCCTCTTACTTTACGTCTAGAGGAATAACTGGTTCCGGAACACAATCTGGGATACATGGATCACCAGGCATTCATCCCTTATCTAATACAAATATAGCATTTCAATCCAATATTGAAGGAAGTAACATTGGATCAACATTGCCGGTAGGGCCTTCTTCGGCTATTTCACAGCATGGTGTCAATCTGGGTGCACCATCCGCGGTGCCACCAGGCGAATCTTTTAAAAGGAAAAGAGGAAGACCTCGAAAATATGGACCTGATGGGACTGTTTCATTGGCATTGTCTCCTGCAGCATCTGCTAATCCTGGTACAGTATCATCAAGCCCAAAACGGGGTAGAGGGCGGCCACCAGGGTCTGGGAAGAAGCAACAATTAGTGTCTCATGGTAAGTTGCGACTTGCAATGGCAATTTTACTTTTCTTTATTGGGATATTTGTTAGTAACGCTGGTGATATCTTGTTGAAGAATTTTTTGTTCCTATGGTATTCATAATTTAGAGAAATCTCAGAGAACTTTTTTTAAGTTAGGGTATCCTAAATAACGTAATGCGTCCGTTTACATTGTCTTATGATCTGCTTTTAAAAGTTCACTATCTGCCTATCTGATATTAGTTGCGGCTTGAAGTCTGTGCCTATAACTCGAATGCTTGTTATCCGAAGTAAATATACTGACATTCCCACTAGTGTCATGTAAACTATCTCAAAAATATTGCAACATTTAGTAGACAGGATGATTCTAATGGCCAAACAGAATTTGGGCAATTTTGATGCATTTGGTACATATCCAAGGGCATTAAAATGTGGAATTATACAGGCTGATTTTAAACATAAATGTAGTAAAAAGAACTACATTTTCAATAAGTCGTTGCGTACTACCTACATGATTTAAATTTATGCTTCTTGCCCTGCTTTGGAACTTGTTGTATGAAAATGATGTTGCAAATGGTTGATTGTTTTGCTAGGCGGATTGCTGTCTGGTTCTGCTGGGATGGGATTTACTCCACATATTATCAGCATTGCAGTGGGAGAAGTATGCCAAATAAACTCATCCATATATATACATGTATTATATAATCATATATATGCAAGAACCTACTTCTTTTGTCATGAAGAGTTCTCTATTGATTTTAATGTGGCCAAGAAGTGGTGGTGTAGATTCTGATTATGTCTGCAACTAAATGAGTGGCTCAGAAGCCCGATGATGCCAGATTCATGAGTCCTGTGCCGGCTTAGTTATGTATATAGGTTAATGTCCATAAATGTAATAATTTAATTATGCATAAGTAACTATTGGAGATGTAAAGATATTACACATCATAAGTATATAAAGGACTAGCAATTATTCAAATGAGCCAAAATTGCGAGTCAGCTTGAATTTGGTAGTTTGAGGTAGCCATGATTTTAAGGTGGTTGACTTTGATATAGGCTATGACATCTTATTGGAAAATAAAAAGATAAGCATTGAGGTGCATCAGTTTCACTTGGGTGATTGTTATTCTGTCATGACTGCTATATTAAGTTATAAACAATCGAGTTCTTGAAGATATTTCTTTTTTAGGTTTTACTGTTATCTATTTTGTTGTCTTGAAATCAGCTTATCTTTTCTTGCAGGATGTTGCAACAAAAATAATGGCGTTTTCGCAGCAGGGGCCAAGAGCTGTGTGCATCTTGTCAGCCAACGGTGCTGTCTCTACTGTGACGCTACGTCAGCCCTCAACTTCTGGTGGTACAGTCACATATGAGGTATGAATATTGAACTTCTTGGTCAGTTTGATCCTTTGTGAAGGTTTGAGTAATTCTAGGCTTATATTTTCTTGTATATTTGGAATTTTGGGGGTAATGTTTATGGCTATGAGGTTATTCATGAAAAAGGAATCTGAGTTCAACATCCGTTTATGTTTGTGGTAAATTTTTTCCGCAAATCCTACATACACAATCACGCGTGCGCATATACATACACAGACAGACACATTTATGCATTTTCCTTTGCATATTTTCGTTCTTTTTTCTTCACCGAAGCTTCTGGTTCTTTTTTTCTTCACTTGAGTTTATTTTCTTGTGGTTTGCGACTTCTTTAGGGACGGTTTGAGATAATATGTCTCTCAGGCTCTTACTTGCTCACTGAAATTGGTGGTTCCCGAAACCGAAATGGCGGTCTGAGCGTCTCCCTTGCTAGTCCTGATGGTCGTGTCATTGGTGGAGGAGTAGGAGGGATGCTTATTGCAGCAACCCCTGTTCAGGTAGTAACTTCTTCATTGCTTTAGCTTTTCTTCATTGTGTTTGATCAGTAAATCTTTGTCATTCTTATGAATTGATAGTTAATCTTTTCAATGGGGAAAGAAATTTATGGGGTTGGTGCTGTTTTCTTTACAAATATTGTTACTGTGACCGTAAATGGTAATCGGATAGAGTGGTGACTTCACCAGAACAGAAACATGCCAGCATAATTTTCATCTGAACGATACGAGTTTACATTAGTAGATAAGAAAATGTCTTGAAAGGAGTTATTTTTTCCCTTCCCTTGCCAACTTTGAGGCTGAAACACGTGGTGGATGAATCCAGGTGATAGTAGGTAGCTTCATATGGGGTGGTTCGAAGACAAAGAACAAGAAAAGGGAAGCCGTAGAAGGTGTCACAGACTTGGAACACGAGACGGTTGACAATTCGGTTGCACTAAACAGCATTCAACCAGATCAGAGTGTAAGCCAAAGTGCTTCATTGGCCGCGTGGCAGGCATCACGGCCACTGGATATGCGTAACAGTCATGTTGACATTGATTTGATGCGAGGGTAACTATTTCGTTTACACGGTCAGTGTATGTACATTTCAGTTTCATCGCTAGTTGGATTTATTTTTCTTCGAAGCATCGATGTTGGGAAACAGAAGCCAGATGATCGTCTAACTTCATTTATCCATGATAGACATTGGGTCTGTACTACTATATTTCTTTAGTTTAATCAAATTTTAGCTTGAACTTGAGCATTCATGATTTCACTTTCATCTCTAGGCATGGTAACTTTTATTCTCTGGCGAAATAAAGGGGAGATTCAGACTGAAATTTCTTCCCTTTGTCGGCATACATGCTCGTAAATTAGGATCACACATCCTTGATCAACATGGTGTTCATGTTTCATGTAGTGAAGGAATGTCTACATTGATCTACATTGATCTTCTCGTTTCCGTGACGAATGTTTATTTTTTGATTCAATTAGGATCGACAATAACAACAGTTTGGCATGTTACGTTGATAGACCTTCTCTCCGTCTCCTCTATTGTTCTTCATTCCCCCTATTCACCGTTGTACCTTTTCATGTGTTTTGTAAAAGTTCGGCCGCGGACGGAGAAAAGATGAAACCACCTTTCCCAACACTTGTTATGCTTTGTCGATCTAAGAAAACAGACAGGAATAAACAGAAACATGTGTGCACCACATGCAAAGACAGTACAGAAGAAATCGATTAGAACAAAATAGAGGTTCCGATTTTTTAAATTTCACATTCCCAAAATATAAGATAACATAAGCAACAGAGCACCAAGCATCCGATCATGTGATATCTAACAGCAAGTCCACTTTTTTAAAAAAATGCATTAGCATTCAGCCCATTTAATTCACTCAGTGAACAATGATAAATCTCAATTAACAGTAATAGATTAAATGCATCTTCATCCCTAAAAAATGCGCTGGCACAAACGATCTCCATCCCTACAAAATGCGCTGGCACCCAGCCCATTTAAAATATTATTAAATTTTTTATAAAATAATAAATTAAAAAAATAGTTTTAATTTCAGATAGGATTTTTAACCAATCTCGTCGCACCACGACGTGTCATTATCCGAACGTACTATTTTGTGAATAGATTTCCACTAAGATTTTCAACCAATCCTGACGCGCCACGTGTCACTATTTGTTTACAATAATTTAGCAAAGATTTCAATAAGATTTTCAACCAATCCTGACGCATCATGTGTCACTATCAGTTTACAATAATTTAGTCAAGATTTCGATAAGATTTTCAACCAATCATGTAGTGCCATGTGGCATTGTCCAGAACCTCATCCTTAATTTTTTTTTTTTTATCCATATAAACCCTACATCCATCCTCACTCCAAACTCAATCATTCTTTTTAGCTCAGAATCCTTCTGCATCTTTTTCAAATCTTAAGTTCTTACAATGTCTTCTTCAAGGAGAGTATATAAACAGTTTGAAGACCAACAGAAAAGATTGTTGGCACAACAGGAAGAATTGGTCAATCTCGAGGAAGGTGGAGGTGGAGATGAGGCTGATAAGGATAAGGATGATGACCATAGAAGGCAGAGGGCCTCACATTCTCACCGTGTCATGGAAGTTGTGGGTCAGATAGCCAAATCCAGACGTGCCGCAAACTTTGATAGAAAAAGGGAAAGACGAGGTAAAGATCTCTTGGAAGATTATTTTATTCCCAACATCGTATTCCCTTATCATGTTTTTAGACGTCGTTTTAGAATGCAACGAAGTTTGTTCAACAAAATCATGAGTGCTATTTGCAACCATGATCCATACTTTGTGCAAAAAGAGGATGCTTTTCATGTTCTAGGTCTTCTTCCTGAGCAAAAAATTACGGGTGCTTTTCGAATGCTTGCATATGAAGCATCTGTAGATTAAGTGGATGAGATAGCGAGGATGGGAAAAACAATTATTTTGGAGTCCCTGATGCGGTTTTGCTTTGCAATTGAAGCCCTTTACACCAATGAGTACCTCTGGAAACCCACACCAAGGGACATGCAAAAGTTTCTGAGGAAGGGTGAGATGTGAGGCTTCCCTGACATGATTGGAAGCATCGACTGCATGCACTGGACTTGGAAAAAATGTCCAAGTGCATTGCAAGGAGCTTATGGCGACAGAAAATGAGCCAAAAGTATCATTTTGGAAGTGGTGGCTTCATTTGATACATGGATTTGACATGCTTTTTTTGGTGTTCTAGGAGCTCAGAATGTCTTTGTCCAATTTCCAGTGTTCGACGAACTACTGCAAGGAAAAGCGCCGAGATGCACATATTGGGTTAATGGCGATAAATACAACAGAGCATACTACCTTGCAAACCACATTTACCTAAGTGGACAACGTTTGTCAAAACAGTGCCACATCCACAGAGTGAAAAAGAAAAACACTTCGCAAAATGTCAAGAGAGGTGTAGGAAGGATGTGGAGTGTTGTTTTGATATCCTGCAAGCTCGTTCGTCAGGGCTGCTGCTAGAATGTTTGATGTTAAGACTCTTCAGTCCATCATGATGATGTGTATTGTTCGCCACAATTCTATATCTGAGGCAATCTTTGACAATTTACCAACATTCCCATTTGTTGAATGATTTGTTGTGGTTCTTCGCATTATAGAATGCTTGTGCTTGTAGTGTCTATAAATGTGGGATAAGATAGTATTATAAAATGCTGGTGTAACATAAATAAATAAATTAAAATATTGATGCGAGTGGAATACATATAAATAAATAAAAATATTGTTACCTAATCCGCTAAACTTGTCCCACTATTCAGATTACTGGAAGCATGAGAGATAACGTTTTTCCAATAAGTAAGGGATGCATTGAGTTTTTTCCAACGACCTTGAAGACCTTGACTACTTCTGGCGTCTTTTCCATGTACATCACAAAACGCTTTTGTAATTTTACTCCAGATTTCTTGCTTATCCATCTCATTACCTGTAATTGGGTCGTGAGTAGTGTGAACCCAGCATTCACACAACGTAACATCTTCGATGAGCTTCCATGTAGTCATTTTTTTCTCTAAAAAATTATATGAAAGCTTTGGTAGAAAGTGTTGAAAATGTTGAAATGTGGTGTAAGGGGGATGATAAGGGTTAGGTATTTATAGAAAAAAAAAATTATGTATTTTTTTAATAATTTTAATTAATTTTTTATAAATTTTAATTTAGTTAATTAATCTGGCCCGTTGGATTTGAAAAAGATTCAAATCCAACAAGCTATGCCTACGTCACTAGCCGTTGGATGTCAAATTCAAAATTTTTTTACCGTTGGAAATCCAACAGTTCAGAAAACTAGCCGTTGGAAATCCAACAGCCTAGGATGGGCCATATAGTCTCCCCATCTGTTCTCTGAGTGCGCCTGTGCATGCAGGCCCCACCTCTGATTTCTTATCAGCGATGCACGCCTAGTCGCGCGTGCTTCTCATGTGCCTGGTGCAAAACAAATTTCAAATGCCCTCAAACACCACGCTGGTGTCAAATGGGCCGTCCTATGGGTCTATTGATTATGGGCCGGCCTATGGCTTGGCTTGGGCTGGGTGCTAGCCTATTAGGCTGGGGTGGAGCAAAAAAAGGGGAGGTCGGTCCATTTTTCAAGTTGGGTGCCAACCTAATAGCATGGGGTGGAACTACTATAAGGGCACACCATTGTTTTGAGGAACACCAATGCTCCAAACAACCTTTGAGCTGTCGACATGTTTTTTTTTGATAAACGATATAATCTACATTGAAAGGGGGTGGGGGTGAGTTATGCCTCACACTAGGTTAGCCATAATAATGCAGTTCAAATTCATCTTTGGCGAAAATCGAGTCTAAGACCTCTTACTTACAAGTGAAGAGGAATACTACTAGACCGTAATGTTAACACAAGATGATTAATAGTCATGGCCATGTCACATTCCTCAATCGAGTCACATTCATCCACCCTCATGACCACCACACTGCAACTGTTACCGCTAATTGTGATGTTGGGAAGGGTCCTCCAGTGTTGTACCGTCGTCATCCAGTGCACAATGCCACAAAAGGGATGTTATCATTGTGTATTTTCTGTCATTCTGAAGGACCGCTCACATCGCCGCCTACCTCAAAGATGTCGAAAGAGAGGTAGAGGCTTGTTGTGTACGGACAAATTTAACATTGGTTTTTTTTTTTTTTTGGTGGGAGTCTACCCTGTTAGAATTAAGTTTTCATTTGGAGATTAGGGTTTAATTTATTAATATTCTTAATTATATTTGTTTGTTTGTCCATTCGTTTATTTTTAACTTAGTATCAGGGCATGTTTTATTTTTTGAGATTTAATCGGCTTATATTTGAAATTCGTACGCTTTGCCTGTGGTTGTTTTTGTCTAGTTTAGATTTGTCAATTAATTTAGTTGTCATTAGTTTTTAATATTTTAAAAAAAGTTTCTAAAATTGAAGCTACAGCCAAGCCACGCCAACGCTGCACCAAACCAAGCCATCGTCTGCTATTTCCCGAGATTTAACTAAAGCCCTAAACCTCCGGCGCGTCCCGCCACGCTTGACAACCTGCAATAGTACCAAATCGCTGCTCACCACTGCTCGAAGCTTGGTGCACCATAACTCACGACTGAGAACCATAAACTCAAGCTTGACGAACCGCGCTGCGCCTTAGCCTGCAACACCTTGCCTAAATCAGCCTAAAAATCCGACAAATCCGCTTGCTGCTACCCGCTCATAGATCAATGATCCTGTTTAACAGTTACTCTCGCCCACAACAGACTTGTTGCGCAACACCACCATTACGCACCAAACCACCAGCTTCCATAGCCGATTTGTCCAACGTCACCCACACGTGTTGGTGATCGGTTTGGAACTTTCTTGTGAATGTCATTTGAGTATTTGGACTTGTGTCCACTCGAGTGATAGTGTTTGCTTCTATATGTTTGTTGCTGTAGTTGAGATATAGAAATCTCGTTTGTTTGGCCTACATGTAGAATTTTTCAAGTCGATGGGCCGAGGGTCCATTCCAATAACACCGATAAAGTCCTCACTTTAGCACTTGCCCAATCTTCAGATGTGGGGTTTTATCACAAAAGGTCTCGGTGTTAGTTATAGTGGGGTAATTCTATATAAATGGGTTCTCTTCTTCCCTCATGGCCGATGTGAGAAATTGGAGGTTCCAACAATTAGGATTTGTCTACTGAATAAAATCTGCAATAGAGTATGTCCGCCTAACAAAATTTGCCTGCCTGTTTGAATCTATCTGCCAACCGTCATCTGAA